ATATATATAAGTAACACCTCTAATCTTTGATACTTTTATGACCTATGTGTATTTGTGTTACAAGTGCTGAAAATTTTTTACCAAATAAAAACCCCCCACCCAACCACCCTAAACCGTTGCAGCATGCATTGCCATTTCTGTGTTTGTCATCAGTGGGATTGCCCTTTAATACAGCTCCACTCCTCATACCAAACCAAAAACTGTGAGGGGTTGGCAGGTGCTCTGGTGTTGTTTGCTTCTTCTTTCCTATCAAACATCTATCGTCCTTATCTCCCCTCCTTTTTTTGTTTGTTACTCTCTTGTATCAACTCTAATCTTCTGGCGCTCATATGACCTTATGCAGTTGTGAGCGCCGTAAAACCTCTACTAAAGGGGTGGAAGTGGCAGTTTTAATAAGTGATTGTCTTGGACAGGTTGCACCGATCAGTCTTGTTTTCATATGGTTTGTCATATCTCAGACAGCTACTTCCTCCCTCGACAATGAGAGTTACTCGAACAACGGCGAAGAAGTTAACCACTCCTCAGAATTGACCGTATTCATTAGTTTGATTTTTAGTTTTAGTAATAATTTTACAGCATTTGCAACACAAATCTGTCATAAAGATTATTGATCTGTGGGGTAATGGTCAAGCTCTTTGCCTCTGTTCGAGTGCAACTGTTTATCTACTGCGATGTTGTGAAGGGTAGTTTTGAAGCAGCCAGTCTCCTAAATGATCTAAATTGTGTTGAAGGGAGCTTGAAACATTTACACTCACAACTGCAGTTATTAAGAGGGTTATTTGTGGTAGCTTTGATGTGGTTTGCCCCTTCTTTCCAGTCGATTCTCTGTTGGCCTTATCTCTCCTCCATTTCGTAGTAGAACTCCTTAGTGACATCTGATGTTTGGCACTTAAAGTGACCTATTTGTATTGCAAGTGCCTTTAAAGCTCTTACACTAAAACAAACTTAACAATTACAAATTTGCTGTCCCTCAGCGCCGGCGTTCTTGGCCTTGAGTCAAGTGTTGCCGAACCCGTCTATAGCTGTGGTGGCCGGTGGCTGTCTCACCTCGGTAGGATTGCTGTGGACAGGTCTTGATGATGGTCACTCACAGCTCTTCTCTTTTGGTGTTCTCACTGGTAGGTGGTTCTTTTCTGTGTGTGTGTGTGTGTGTGTGT